AACACTCTGTAGGTCTAAATATTAGTCAGAGACATTTATAGTATTATTTAACACTCTGTAGGTCTAAATATTAATCAAAGGACAAAGTAATGTTTAATAATTTGTGTTAAATTTAACATGATTCAGCAGAGCTACTCTGTGTATACGCTCCACAAGCTAATATCTGATAATCAGTTCAATAAATAACAGTGATTACATAGACTTTATAAGATTATTTTAATTTTAAACTGTTACATTATGTTCTGTTCAGATCTCATTGAGCTAAATAAGATCAAATATGCAGACTTGTGTTGTAAAATGAGACGTTTTCCTGTTTATCTTCTGTTAATAAATCCATAACACAAACAGCTTTTCTGACATTATTTAAAACATTAGATAGATTATACAGTATAAACTGTAAAATATTAATAATCATTGGGTAAATATTATTATTAATAGTTTTAATGATTTCTACATCATCAGCCCTTTTTTTCTGCTCTGTTGTCAACATGTACAGTAATGGGAAATCCAGACTCGGCCATTTTGTGTTAGCCTTTAGCTTCACAAGCCGATCACATGGTCACCTGGTTTCTGAGCACTCCAGTTCTTATCCAGTATATACCTCCATGATTTAGACTCACATATAATCAATACGTGAATATTGAACTGTTAACTATCAATTCCATGTTACTGTTATTTATATAGTCATAGATTTTGCTAAAGCAACTGAGCCACTGGAAAGAGACCAACTCAGCCCACTGACCACCTGTACCCACAGCCTGGTGGTCCCAATGCTTTATACACTAAACTGAAGGAGCCACAGCAACAATGAGGAAGGACCTTGGCAAGAGAAAGGAGGGCCAAGAAAAACTACATGTTCTATGAGAGGACTAGACACAAAAATACATATGATGTCATTAATAAAACAAATCAGTCATGTTACATTTACTCAGATTTGTTTGGTGCTTGTTGGTTTATTGAAAACAGGCAGATGTTGTCTTTGCACCCCTTTGAAATTAATAGTTGTAATTATGTTTCCAAAAACAAGGTCACAGTTAAATTCTAGTGCCTTTCTTGTTACTCCTGSTTCAGTCTTGGTTTTCAATCTRATAAAATAACATTATTTTTTGAATGTTGAAGTGCATTCAAAGTATAACACAAATGCTTTTATCTATACTGATGTTGCACTTGCACACTTCTACTCTACATTTCATTTGAGTATACTTTAAGTAATTGCTAAAATTAAAATAATATTTTGACATTTTGTTAGATTATATTTGGACATTCGCTTAGCACATTACTTGTATAAAACTATGTATATGAAGAAATATACTTCCTAAATGGGGCGGCTGTGGCGGAGTGGTTAGGGGAGTCATCCTGGAACCAGAAGGTCACTGGTTCGATCCCCCGTCCAGCCGTCTCAGTCGTTGTGTCCTTGGGCAAGACACTTCACCCACCTTGCCTACTGATGGTGGTCAGAGGGTCCGGTGGCGCCGATGYATGGCAGCCCCACCTCTGTCAGTGTGCCCCAGGGCAGCTGTGGCTACAGAGTAGTTTGCCATCATCAGTGTGTGAATGTGAGTGTGAATGGGTGAATTTCTGTTAGTGTAAAGCGCTTTGGGGGTCCGGAGGGACTTGAAAAGCGCTCTATAAGTTCAGTACCATTTACCATTTTACCATTTAAATTATTCTTAAAGATAACCGACAGAATCTTGAACAACTTTGATATATTTAATTAAGATTTTAAAAAATGCTGTACAGTGTTTTTTTTTTTGTTTGTTTGTTTCAAATACCCATATAAATTATAACAATTGTACAGGTCAAAAACAAAAAGCTTCTACGAAATGAAACCCTTCTTTTAAAAAATTGAAGGGAAAAGGAGCTTTTTTGCATTTAAAAGTGCAAACACAAGTTAGTCAAAAATTAATCTAATTTTTTGAGACAGGGATTTTTGATTTTTCTTTACTTTTTTTTTGCCAAAATCATCAATATTAAAACAATAAAAGGCTTGAACTACTTCAATTGGTGTGCAATGAATCTAAAATACATGAAAGTTTGATGTTTATCATTAGAGAAAATATGAACTTTATCACAATATGCTAATGTTTTGAGAAGGACCTGTAATTTGAACAGTACTGTTTAAATGTAAAGTCTAGAAATTTTACTTTGACATATAAGAATTTCCTTTTGTTAGAAACATGTTCATTTATATTGACTGTTATTGTTGATACCAATAAAAACATTTAACATGTACATTTTATATGGATAGATGTTTATAGAAGTGGTACTTTTGCCATTAAATAACATTGTAATCTCTTTAAAACAAAGTTACATAGAAATTTGTTCTTTCAGATGCTGCTACATAAAATCACATGGCCAGTTATGGGCCGGAATGATGATGAGGAATGGGATGTTGACTCCATGTGCCACGTTGAAGATCACTGATTGAAACAGGTGTGGTTTGTTCATATACATCACTGTGTTTGTTAAGGGTTTTTACATTTTGTAAAAAACAAAAAAAAAAAAAAAAACTGGAGATTTGTTTTCATGACATTTTGCCCTTGTCTGTTTAGCCTCATCAGATTCATGGGCTCAGCTGCTGACATTCTGGATTGGATGTACTCCCTTCAGACAGATCTTCCTACTTCAGCAACATGTTTGACACACTAAAGTTCCCAGCCCACATCAAAAACTACAAGGAGTTTGAAGAAGCACTTACTTCTGCCATACATAGGTAATACTGTACGTGAGGTGTTGGGTGCTGTTCTGGAGGACATGACAAGTTGATGCAAATTCATTTGGGTTTTGGTTTATTGTTATTGAAAACTTCTGCTTTCCAAAAATGCTTATTGTTCCATGAGTTTCGTGCAATTACAGTGATTCTGAAACACATTCTGTTGCGCTCTCTCTCAACGCTGGAAAAAAATAACACCACTTTAAAATGATCAGTTTCTGTGACTTTACTCTTTATAGGAACATGTTTGAGTAAAATGAACATTGGGCCTCATGCAAGAACTGTTCGTACGCACAGATTTGTTCTTAAATTGTGCGTACGAGTGATGTAGGAGAATTT